AAAGAATAAGATAAGACTATAAGAGCAAGAAGCAATTTCAATATGTTCAGGGACCATTTTCATCTCCAGAATTAAGGATTATTTTGATGTTACATCATTGCCTTTTCTCTTTTACTTTGCTTTTTAGTTTTATTTTAGGATTCCCTATTTTTAATGTTCATACAGAGATTTCTTTAACTGAAATACCGAATAGTTTCTTTGGTGTGAAAAACTATAATAGTACACAGGATCCTAATGAGACAATTAATAATGTGAAATAGGAAGTAAAGGGCTAAAGGTGTAAGGAAAGTGGGAAGGGTGGGGGAAAGGTAATAAGGAAGAGGAAAAAAATATGAGAAACTGAAAAAATGGAAATAAAGTGTTTGTAAATGGGGAGGGGAGGAGGGGGTGAAGGGAGGGCAGGGACAAGGGGAAAAATGAGAATCAAGACCTATCATGTAAAGGTACAGAATCCCAATGATGAATGTAATTGTATTATATACCTAGATTGTACCAATAACCTCAATAAAAAGGAAAAAAAAATACATATATACATATATGTATATTTATCATTACAATACATTTTGAAGTACACATATGTTGTAGAATGGTTGAATCCAGCTAATTAACAAATTCATCACCTCTCATAGTTATTTTTATGGTGAGAACATTCAACATCCACCCTGCATTTTCAATTTCCAAATACTTTTAAAAGTACTATTCATAAAAGACATTAGGGTGAAATAAAGTCATAAAAATGCTTGGGAGAATTTAAGCCTAGAAATTCTACATGATGATGATCTTGTAGTCAAAGTTATAATTTACAATCTCTTCTGAATGGTACTGAAAATGAAGAGCCAACACTACCATCAACGCTGTCATTTAAATGTCACATAAAGTAGGGGAAAAGTGTGTGAGTATGAGTGTGCGTGTGTGCATGAGCACAATTTTTTGTTTTAGATAGTGTCTTGTCACATTACCAATCCTGGTTTCAAATTCATGATCCAAAGTAATCCTCCCACTCAGTCTCCTAAATATAGCTGGAACTATAGCAACATAACACTATGCCAAACTAATACATAAAAATTTTATAGAGCAATACTTATAGAGCAATATTTTTAGAATATCTTTTCCTTCTGAGTCTCACTAGACTGCATGACATCAATCATTCTGACACACAACAGTTGTCATAAAGAAAGATACTTCGATCATATAAGGAAACAAATAAGTTAAATTTTACCTTTTCCAGTTTACGCAATTTTCCAGTTGCTAAAAACTCATCAATTTTTTCAGCAATTTTTGTTCCGACTCCAGGCTATAAAGAAAATTAAAAGTACAAAAGTCAAACAACTATAACATTTACCAAATAACTAAAAAATACAAAGTAAAAAATGAAAACAAATGATCATCTGACAAGTCTTAAGACAAAGGGCACAGAAATCTGAACCCCAGCAGCAAACTCTCCTAGAGGCAAAATGCTTAAATGACAGACAAAAGAGAAACTTTAATAAAATAAATGACTCTGGCTTATTTAAAATTAACTTTTGGTGTAGAAAAAATTAGAAAATTATATAAAGAATATTAAATCACCTGTCAATCTTATTGATCTGAAAATTAATATCACCTGTAGCCTTATCCCCTAATACCTGCTACATACTGAGCTCTTTTCTACTTATAAATACACATACTTATATATGTTTTCTAAATACATTAACAACAAAATTTCACATTAATAAATGTAACTACAGTATTTTAATGGCTACATAGTATATCACTGTATAAATGTATAATTTACCTAACACTCTACAAGTGGATACTTAGATGGTTTCCAATTATTTGATAATGTTAACGGCGGCATAACAAACTGTTTTGTTTTGTTTTGTTTTTGGTGCCGGGGATCAAACTCCAGATGATGCACTTGTGAGGCAGGTGGCGGAACCACTGAGCTACATCCCTGGTCCCACAAACTTCCCTTCAAGCAGAGTTTCTTAAGTTTCTGCATGCATCAGCATCACCTGGGGAGGAGACCAACCACTCTGTCAGGAGGAAGGGGACGAGGTCACAGATTTGCCCTTCTAAATTCCCAGGTGCTGCTGTTCTGGGCACCACACTTTGAGAACCACTGCTGCATAACTGCATAGTCCAACACAGCACAGCAGGCACATGTGACAATGGAAGTGGAATTAAAATTTTAAAATTTTCAATTACACTGGCCTCATTTCAAGAACTCAGCAACCAAATGCGGTGGGTCGTGGTTGCCATGCTGGACAGCAGCACTCCCAAATGTAAGCTCTAAAGGGCAGAGGGCCTGACTCCATTCACTGCATTATCCCTAATGCCTGGCATGTAGGTCCTCAAAAGTTATGAACCAACAGATCTTTGTTGTGCTGTTTCAAAGGACATAAACATTTTATCAAGTTAGCTTTCAGAAGAGCTGTAACAGTGAACCTGTTCATCAGCAGTAAATAAGTGTTTTTTTATGTCTTTGTCCACTCTTTGTATTATAATATATTGGATAATTCAATAGGCACTATCATGTTTTACTCTCCAACTTTAATTATTAGTGAAGTTGAACTTTTTTTCATGTTGGTCCTTTTTAGTTACAGCTTCAACATGCGATAAGACATGTGCTACTTACTTCCTACTATCGCATGGCCCTACATTCCCTTCTATGTTCTGGGTTTATTTTATGTTTAATGACCTAAAACTACTAAGTGAATATTCAAATTTGGAAAAGAGCAATTACTAAGCAGAAATGACCAACAGGTTTATAGGAATTAGAAAAGGGAAACTACTCAAGCTTTTCATTTCCTATATCAGATAAAAAAGAAAGGTAATTTATTGCAGTGTTAACAATTTTATTCTATAACATACTGACATCAAGCATCACAATAAATTTTACTCCATAAAATACTGACCTCAAGCAATTCAGACCCAACCTATTTCTTATACCTACCATTAAGAAAGAAAAGGCAGGCATCTAGAAATTTTTTTTTTTCAGATTTCTGGAATTACTACAGAGCCCTCATATGGACTACATAGATCATCTGTGATTATTCAAATAACAGTGAAAGGGATAATGATGAATTTTTATATTAAGTCTAATATAAAAGTAGTCTCAGGTACTTTTGTATTACTACTAAGGAAATACTATGAGCTCAGATATGAAGATTATCAGAGCTTTTCAGAAATGTTTCTATAATGAATAAGGAGGCCATTTGCAACAAATATGAGCAGTTCTGGATCATGTGGTAGGATTTCCGCAGAAGAACATCTATTATTAGACAGACGTTCTCAGTGACATTGTTACAAACTACTAGGAGATGTAACCCTCTAGAAACCATGACACTACTAGTAAATGTCTGTTCTTTGTAATTCCCATGAGGCCCTATTAGTAGTGTCTCAAAGAACAGAACTAACTGCCAAAACATGAACGGGCTTAATCATGGGCTTATTGGCAGGTGAAGGCTTTTAAGAGACACTAACTCTCCTAAGTTCTTACAATCGGGAAGCAAAGAATGCTAGCTAAGAATCACACATGTTGGGCCAGGGATTTAGCTCAGCAGTTCGGTGGCCTGCCTTGCAAAGGCAAGGACTCGAGTTTCAATCCCCGGTACCAAAAAAAAAGCATCACACATGCTAGTATCACTTTTGGACACCAAGGTCTTCTTAAGGACCCACATTCAAGGTGAAATTCAATGTGAGAGTGACTACACTCATCCAGGGCAAAGTAGAGAAAAAAGCTTTGATTACATAAAGTTTTAAAAATGTTAACCCACCTTCCCACCAAATAAAAGCATTTGAATTAGAAAGTATGCTTCATACAGAATTAGTTTTACTCCAAGATATTAGAAACAGTGAACCATGCCTTTGTGTGAGTCAGAAAAATGAGTTTAGTTTTATGGAAACCCAGAAAATTCGCATACGTGAACCCTTCAAAGTACCACTAAACCTACCAATTTCTTGGCTTCTGCTCCACTCTTGATTTTCTGTGGGTACTTTGCTATAACTGATGCTGCTTTTCTATAAGAAAAATAAAAACAAATTAAGTCCATCAAGGCCTTACTTTTCTTCAATTGGTATCTATATACTAAGATAACTAATTTTCCATTTTCACATAAAACTTAAAACTTAGACAGATGAAAGTCCACCTCCTATATTAACTCTTAAAAGTATCTTGAAGTTCCTCTCTATACCTAAATGACAATGCTACTACAGGTATTAGAACTTATGGGACTCAATGAAAGCAGTCCTAAAAGGGAAGTTTATAGCTGAGAATTCCCACATCACAAAAACAGAGCCAGCACAAATAACTTAATGATACACCTCAAGGTCCTAGAAAAACAAGAACAATCCAAACCCAAAGCTTCTACAAGGAAAGAAATTAAAAAAATCAAGAATAAATCAATGAAATTGAGACAAAAAAATACAGAGTCAATGAACTGAAGAGTTGGTTCTTCAAAAGAATAAATAGAATAGACAAACCCTTAGCCAATCAGTCAGACTTGGTGGCACACACCGATAATCCCAGCACTAGGGAGGCTGAGGCAGGTGCTGCGAGTTTGAGGCCAGTCTGGGCTACATAGTGAGTTCAAGGCCAGCCTGAACTACACAGTGAGACCTTGTCTCAAAAAACCAAAAAGACATGAAAAAGGTCAAATCACAACAGACACTACTAAAACAAAAAAAGATTATTAACAATTACTCTGCAAATCTACAAACCAATAAATTGGAGAATTCAGAAGAAATGGATGGATTCCTAGATATATATGAATTACCAAAACTGAACCAAGATGTAAAAACCCTAAATAATCCAGGCAATGAAATTGAAGCAGTAATAAATAACCTGACAACTAAGAAAGCCCAGGTCCAGACAGATTCACTGCTGAATTCTATAAAAACTTCAAAGGAGATCTAGCACCAACACTCCCCAAGCTTTTAAGTGAAATTGAAAAGGAAGAAGTACTCCTAAAGTCATTCCTGGAAGCTATGATTACCCTAATTCCAAAACCATACAGGAAAGAGAACTATACACTAAGCTCTTTAGGGAATATAATGCAAAAACCCTCAAGAAGATTTTGCAAATAGAATGCAATAAATCATCAAAAAGATCATACACAATGACTAGGCAGGCTTCATCCCAGAGATCATACATTTGCACAACATATGCTCATCTATAAATGTAACTTACCACCAACAGAAGCAAGGACACAGTCATCTCAATGGACAGAAAAAGCTTTCTGACAAAATCAAATATCCTCTCATGATGAAAAACAAAGAAAACAGGTACAGAAGGAACTTACCTTAATCTGATAAAAGCCATTTATGAATAATCTACTGCCAACATCATATTAAAAAGGGAAAAACTGAAAACTTTCACTCTAAAATCAGAACAGGACAAGGATGCCCACTATCACACCTGTTCAACATAGTGGCTGAAACATAATAAGCCATTAGGCAAGAAAAAGAAATAAAAAGGGATATGTACAGGAAAAGAAGTCAAATTAGTATTTGCAGATGACACGATCCTCTACACAGAAGACCCAGAAAAATCTAACAAAAGACTCTTAAATTAATAACCAAATTCAGTAATGTAGGATATAAAATCAATGCACAAAAATCAATAGTGCTTTGGGAAAGTGAAGCAGGAGGATCACCGTGAGTTTGAGACTAGCCTGGGATACATAGTGAGACCCTGCCTAAAAGAAAAAAAGTCAATAGTGTTCCTGTACACTAATAATGAAGAAGCACCATTCACAATAGCATCAAGAAAAATTAAATATTTAGGAGTTAACATAATTAAAGAAATAAAATACCTCTACAATGAAAACTACAGTACTATGAAAAGGAAATCCAAGGAGACACCAGAAAATGGAAAAATATCCAACAAAATAGAGAAGGCAGAAATAACCCAAGCACATTCAACTATTACATCTTTGACAAAGAGGCCAAAAACATACACTGAAGGAAAGATAGTCTCTTCAGTAAAAGGTGTTGGGAAAGCTACCTATCTACATGCAGAAGATTGAATCTATACCCATGTCTCTCACCATGTACTAAACTAAAATAAAAATAGATCAAAGAACTAAATATTGAAATACAAACACTTAACCCTTTGGAAGACAAAACAAGCAAAACTTGAAGTCAAAAGTTTGGGCAAGGACCTTCTGAACAGAACCTTGGTTGATCAGGAAATAGTACTGAGAATCAACAAATAGGACCATATCAAATTAAAACACTTCTGCACAGCAAAAGAAACAACCAAAAGAGTGAAAAGACAACCTACAGAATGGAAAAGAACTTTTTGCCCAGTTATTCATCAGGGGACTCATATCTAGAATATATGAAGAACTAAAAATAAATAAACCTCTCAAAAGATACAATAAAAAATGTGCAACTAAAATGAATAGACACTTCACAGAAGTACAAATGGCCAATGAATACATAAAGAAATGCACATCATCTCTGGCATTTGAGAAATGCAACTTAAACACTGAGATTTCACCTTACTCCAGAAAGAATGGACAGCAACAATCAAATAATGACAAATGCTGGAGAGGCTGTGGGGGGAAATGGAGCCCTTTTACAACAACTATGGAAATCAGCGTTGTGGTGTTTCCTCAAAGCACTAAAACTAGAAATTGCATTTGACCCAGCTACTCCCCTTTAGGTAGCTTCCCAAAAGAGTTAAGAGATACTCAAAAGAGTTATAGTGATACTCAGGTTTGCACAACTGAAATAGCTAAATCTTGGAAGCAGCCTGTATGTCCATCAACAGATGAATGGATAAAGAAAATGTGTTATTTATAAATGATGGAGCACTAACTGCAATAAAAAAAAGATGAACTTGAATTGTTTGTAGGAAAATGGGTGCACCTTAAGACTATAATGTTAAGTGAAATAAAACAGATACACACATTCAAATATTGAATGGTTTCTTTTACGTGAGAAAACCAACATATAAATAAAGAGCAAAATACAAGATAGACAATAGGAAGTAGGAAGATAAATCTTTCTCAAATGAGAAAGGGATGAGAGATGGAGGAGTAGTGGGAGAAGAGGGATGGGGTGAAAAAAGAAATTAAAATATATTATGTACATGTACGAACTCCACTAAGAAATATAAATATATACTGCAAACATATACCAAGGAGGTGTGTGTCAAGAGATGGTTGCAGAGAGGGGAGAGGGAAGGGAAAGGGGATGAAAAAAGAATTAAGATAATACAACTATATGTACATGTACCAATTCCCCACAAGGAATGTAAACATTATGAACTACAAACATGTACTGATTTTTAAAAAAAGCAACAATTCAGGTAAGTCTAAAATATAAACACTGAGTAATCTTTGGAACCATGGATTTGTATTATATTTCTAGCACATGTAAACAAATAGATTTGGATTTCAACTGCTCTGTTAGTACATGACTGATGATGAGTTTGGAAAGGATATATTCACAGGCTAAGAAGCAAGCTGAAGGCAGTTTATGGAAGCTATTTCAGGAAAAGCAAGTTGGTCCAGGTAAGTGGCACTATGGGACAGAGCCTGACAAGGAAGAAAAATTAGATGATGAAAGTACTTTTTGAGTTGAGTGTGATGGTACACACCCACAAGCCCAGCTACCTGGGAAGCTGAGGCAAGAGAACTCCAAGTTAGAGGCCAGCTTGGACAACTTAGTAAAATCCTGTATCAAAATAAAACTGAAGCTCAGCCACTGAGCACCTGCCTAGCATGTGTGATGCCCTGGGTTCAATCTCTAGTACCACAGTAAAGGGAAGGGGGCTCCTATGCCACAATGTATTTGAGCTTTATCAAGGTAAAGAGAAAATATTTAATTAAAGCGGAAGAATGACAGGATTAGTCAAAAGTCTGTTGGGCCACAACCAACAATAACATATACAGGGGAGGGAAGCAACATGCCAGGTAGTAGGGTATCATTCGCATTTCTGGGTTTATTTCCTATTCATGCCAAACCTTTAAGCAAAATGATTTACCAGCTTCACGTCTCAATGCCTTGGTATTTTGCTTCCTTTGTCTAGACTGCTTTTCTGCTCATTAATGCCTGATGAGCTCCTTCAAGACCAAACACCTTATGTCAGAAGACTGCTATGACCCAAACAGATACAGGGTTGACTATCTCCCTAACTTCCAGATTACCAATATATGGATGATAGTTCAATTACTTTATATAGGAAGTCACAGAAAATAATGGATGGAGGAAGTACAATCAGTTTTGAAATATGTTTAGCGGGAAGGGAAAAGCTCTGGAGAAGCCCAATGAAACACAACTTTGGAGTCACTGATAGAAGCGGTATTCAGGTGGTAAGCTACTTGAATACATGGTAAGCCAAGAAAGGGAGTGAAAGGGAGAGAAGAGGGCCATAGGCAGACTTCTGGAAATACCAACAAGACAAGAGGGAAGAAGGAGTACTATCACAGGAGTCAAGAGAAACACTGATGTAGTGAATGCCACTGAGAGTGCGGTAAGATCAGATCTAGATGAATTTTCAGAGATGGTGGGATAAAAATTATACTACAATAACATAAGGAATGACTATAGATGAGAAAGTCCACACATGAAACAGATTACCCAGAAAACTAACTCAAGAAAAGAGATAAGCATCTAGCTAAAGGAAGTTAAGATTGCTTTTGTTTTACTTTAAAGAGTTCCTGAGCTCGTAAAATTTTGTCCCTTGCATATTTTGACAGGTTAACAAGCAGATGAAGGTGGATGCGGGCACTATGGCTAGGAAAAGTCTGTCCTGAGGACTCTGGTGGTAAACAAAAATGTGATCCCATGAATGTGACAAAATCAGCCAGCGGCCAACCAGATGTTGCCTTGAACCACATTATTTCACAGTACAGACCTCATCTGTCTTTCATTCCCGCTTAAAATCACAGTGCATTTCCAGACAGTCACGTTTGATGGTGGGAAAAATATATAGGTTATATCCATTAATATGGGAGCTTATCTGAATTGATCCTACAGAGCTCTATCAAACTCCTGGAAATGTCAAATACAGCACCAACGAGTTTTAGCTGTCCTGAAGATGGCCCAAATATCTACTGTACCCTCAACCCTGTTACCTGCCACACAAAACAAGGGCATCCCAGAACGCACGCTACCAGCCAATGCCACACTGTCCCACCTGTAAGCGTTGTACTTGTGGATAGCCTGGCTCACGTTCTTCTCAAAGTTTGCGAGTTCTGAAAAGGCAATGAGGATTGGGTGAGCAAGAACCATGAGTAAACACACGAGAACTGGATTCCCTCGAGGGGATGCCCACCGGATTCTCCCAAGCCAGACCAAAGGCGGCGCCGGCGGTGATCAGGAGGCCCAGAGGACTACGATCAGGCAACCAAGGCAGACACCGCGGAAGGCAACGCGCTGAAAGGGGCTGACCTTCCCCTGGTCAGTCTGGATAGAAGCAGGCTGGCCGCGGACTGAAGGGTGAAGGAAACCGGCGGGACGGCCGGGACTCACCCATGAGCATGTCGGTGATTCCCCCGTTGAGCGTCTCCTGCGGCGCCTTCCGTTTACTCATAGCGGCCCGCACGGAGGACCCCAGGCGTCCAGCACCTGGGCCCGACCCCCTCTCCCAATAGTACCAAGGGACTCGGACTTGAGGAAGGGGAGCAGCCAAGGGAGTGAAAGGGAAGCGCGACCCCAAACAATGGCCGCCTCTGACAGGAGGCGCGGCGCGGCGCTGTGACGTCA